GCCTGTTCTTTGATAACCCTATAATGATCTAAATCGCTGTGTTTGAATAAGCTTAATTGTTTGAACCTTTACCTCCTAGGAGCACTTGAATCACTAAAGAATATACAAAAGTCAAAGTGTGGGGTGGGAGAGAGTTAGTGAAAAAAGGAAATCAAGAATGAAGGTTTTGATTGGTGAACTGGCAGTGTACAATAAATCTCTAAAAAAAAAAAAAGAAGAAGAAGAAGAAGCCAGTTGTACCTAAAGAAAAGTGAGGGTCACAAGTGAAACAAAATGTGGAATAATGATTGGGTTGAACAAAAAGGTAAAACAAAAGGAAGTGTGTATTAAAAGTGCTTAGGGAGGTTAGTCACTATATCCAAATATATCCTACCCGTCCCTTAGCCTACATTACAACCTATAAAGACCTCTTGATCTTTGACTGAATGGCTCAATTAGTAGAGTATTACACTAGGGGCAAGCTTATGGTGTGTCTGTGTGGCATGTGAATGCTCTTTGCTGAGAGTGAGTGAATTCTTTCTATATATGGTTCCTTGTTGTTGAATTGTATGTGTGGGGAACTTCTCTCAGATTTTGTCTATGTGAGGGCATGTGGCTCGGGAAGAAAAAGTGAGTCTTCACTTCTGTTAGAGTAATTAGAGTGAGCACAAGTGTATCATGGCATGAGAGTCTGCATTTGAGCTATGATTGTGCACTGCTTAGGTCGATCAGTGATAATAACAGGTGTGACATAAATTGGGGCAATCCATTGAGCAATTAGGCCTAGAAGTGTGGCTTAGTTTGCTCGAGGACGAGCAAAGGCTTAAGTGTGGGGTGTTGATAATAGGTGAATTTGACTATAATCACGCCTTAAATAATCACCTTCTTGTGTAGTTTTAATGCTAAAAGTGATAACAAATGCTCTTATTAATGCTTTTCATGATTTGCAGGTGATATATATAAGGAAGGCTAAGGAGCAGTTTTGGAGTCAAAATTGATGAAAAAGAGGCCAACTGTGAAATTCCCCAAGTAAACCACTCAAAACAGGCCGAAGATTCAGAGCACTGGTTTGACCGCGGTTCCACCGCGACCGCGGTAGAACCGCGGTGGAAGATAGCTGCGGATGAATTCAGAATCAGAGAAGGCTTTTGGCCGCGGTTTGACCGCGACCGCGGCAGAACCGCGGCGGAAGCAGAAAACTTCAGGGACTAAAGTGTAAAACACGGGATTTTTAGACCTAAACCCTATTTAAAACATTGACTTCGCCCAAGAGAGGAATGTATTGATTTTTAAGGTTTCTTAGCAAGGAAAACCATTGTGAGAGAATACTCCAAACATCTTTCTTCTTTACTTTTGATTTTTATGATGAATTCAATCTTAGTTTATCTTCCCATAGCCATGAGTAGCTAAATTCCTTGTCTAAGATTTTGATGGAACCTATTGGGTGATGAACTTCTTGTTTATGTGAATACAAATTGCTAGTTTAATGTGTTGTAGTTAATTGATAGGATCCTCAATTAGCTGTGCCTATTTAGTGTGCATAACTTGGAAAAGAGTGCATATTTAGGGTATTGTTGAACAACACCACTCCTAGATTATTAGAGGAATCTATAATTGCGGGTTTAAAGGCGGGATTAGGGATAACGAAGCCTTGAGTGTAATCTAAAGTGAATCGTGCTAAATAAAGTAAGCTAGTGTATCTCGGGAGAGTGCAATAGTAAATTACTGTGATTACTCGGGAGAGATTTACGGTAAGATTAGCGTTCATGATGGATAGAGATGTGTTGGTAAATTTGTATGAACATAAACAGAAGGGATTCCATCAATAGAGGAAATCATTGCCTTAGCATTTTTCTCATAATTGTTTACAACCTTATTAGTTTAGTTTACCGCTATTTAGTTACTTGCAAGCTAGTTGTTAAAGAATATTCAACTGAGATTTGAATATTTGGGAAGCTGGTTCTGAAGAATTAGTGGGTCTGAAGATAGTGGTTGATAGGTTAACTCTCTGTGGATTCGACCCTGGGCGTAATACTCGGGTTATATTTGCAACGTCCGCAGAGTCCTTTTTATAAGGCATAGTTGGGCGTGATCAAATTTTGGCGCCGTTGCCGGGGAGTTACCGGAATTATCAATTGCCATGACAGAAATACAAAGATTCTTATTGTAGTCAGTTTTCTCTCTACCAACTTTTTCATTGAAAATTTGATGGTTGTTGATCTGGGTGCACAGTTGTATGCCTAGAAATTCTACGAGGACTGGAGAACTACTTGAAGGACTTTCAGACCCCGAGAAAACATTCCGAGCATTGAATCGTGCTAACAAAAGACTTCAACAACCCCAACAAACACACAAATTCGAAATTGACATGGGCGACATAAACGACCCCAACGGAAACGTCAGGAATGAGCAATTGGCACCTCCCGTGCCTGAGGGTGCACTATATGACTGGGCACAACCCACAGCTGACAATCTGGCCACTGCCATTGTTGTGCCCGCAATACAAGCTAAATCGTTCCAGATCACAAATAACATGCTACACTTGTTGCAGAACAAAGGACTCTTTTCTGGGCACAGAAGATCCTCAGCAGCACTTGAAGAACTTCCTGTCTATATGCAAAACTCAAAGGCAACCCAACGTGACTCCGGAAGCAATCAGGCTATTATTGTTTCNAAAAAGAGGCCAACTGTGAAATTCCCCAAGTAAACCACGCAAAACAGGCCGAAGATTCAGAGCACTGGTTTGACCGCGGTTCCACCGCGACCGCGGTAGAACCGCGGTGGAAGACAGCTGCGGATGAATTCAGAATCAGAGAAGGCTTTTGGCCGCGGTTTGACCGCGACCGCGGCAGAACCGCGGCAGAAGCAGAAAACTTCAGGGACTAAAGTGTAAAACACGGGATTTTTAGACCTAAACCCTATTTAAAACATTAGACTTCGCCCAAGAGAGGCATGTATTGATTTTTAAGGTTTCTTAGCAAGGAAAACCATTGTGAGAGAATACTCCAAACATCTTTCTTCTTTACTTTTGATTTTTATGATGAATTCAATCTTAGTTTATCTTCCCATAGCCATGAGTAGCTAAATTCCTTGTCTAAGATTTTGATGGAACCTATTGGGTGATGAACTTCTTGTTTATGTGAATACAAATTGCTAGTTTAATCTCTATTTGTTCAACTTCGTGTTTGTTGTAGTTAATTGACAGGATCCTCAATTAGTTGTGCCTATTTAGTGTGCATAACTTGGAAAAGAGTGCATATTTAGGGTATTGTTGAACAACACCACTCCTAGATTATTAGAGGAATCTATAATTGCGGGTTTAAAGGCGGGATTAGGGATAACGAAGCCTTGAGTGTAATCTAAAGTGAATCGTGCTAAATAAAGTAAGCTAGTGTATCTCGGGAGAGTGCAATAGTAAATTACTGTGATTACTCGGGAGAGATTTACGGTAAGATTAGCGTTCATGATGGATAGAGATGTGTTGGTAAATTTGTATGAACATAAACAGAAGGGATTCCATCAACAGGGGAAATCATTGCCTTAGCATTTTTCTCATAATTGTTTACAACCTTATTAGTTTAGTTTACCGCTATTTAGTTACTTGCAAGCTAGTTGTTAAAGAACATTCAACTGAGATTTGAATATTTGGGAAGCTGGTTCTGAAGAATTAGTGGGTCTGAAGATAGTGGTTGATAGGTTAACTCTCTGTGGATTCGACCCTGGGCATAATACTCGGGTTATATTTGCAACGTCCGCAAAATCCTTTTTATAAGGCATAGTTGGGCATGATCAAGACTCAAAACGAATTTAAGGTCTTATTTCATGTCTTAAATTAATACTTATTTTGTATTATTTGTCAAGAATGTCATGTAGTGCATATAAACATATTTCTTTTCCAAAAAAAATAACCTCTAGAAAAGTTAGGATTAGTTTTCGAGCAGAAATTTAATTCTACATGTACTTTTGTGACCTTATCATCCCAATCAAGTCTTAAGGGTTGGGAATTAATTTATCAACACAAAGGTATAAAATTAAAATTAAAAAGAAAAAAAGTGACAACCAAGGCTAGTGGTGGCAAAATGGTTTTAAAAAATAGTTATCTATCCATAATATCCATAAAAAATGGGGTGGATAACGAACTTTTAAAAAGTAGGTTAAAATGGATAAGAACCATATTATCCCTTTAGAAAATGGATAATGAGTTTAACTTTTATGTTTGTAAAGCCTCAAATTGAGGGTTCCTTAAGTTTAGAAAACTAGAAAATCTCCAAAAGTGATCATATTTAAGAAGCCATGGATAATATGAATATCCATATTATCCGCCATCTACCGGTTAACCTTTTTTTTTATTTGTATTAAATATAGAATGGGTCAGATAATTTATCCGTTTTTTCGTTATTCGTTTTCGACCCGCTCATATCCCGATCTGACCCGCCCGTTTATCACTCCCAATCAGGGCTAATGCAGGAGCAAAGGCCAAGTGCATCTTAATTTTTATAATTTCAATTAATTAGTTGTCCTTGTTTGCTATTTAACCACAAGAAGAAGAAGAGAGACAAAAGAAACAAAAAACAGAAGGTATGGGATAAACCTTAATGAAATAGTTATTTTTTTCTTGTTTGAAAAAACAAAGTGTTTTAACGAAAAAATCACGGGAAAAAATATGAATCGTGACAAAAGGTAAGGCCGGATAAAAAACAAAAGAATAGCGAAAAAAAAAAAAGAAGAAGAAAATACTCTCAAAAATTTTATAGCCAAACACTAATTTTAAAAAAAATAAAAAATTTCAAAAATAAAAATAAAAAAATTCTTATGTACAAACGGGCTCTTAAACAAATAACTCATCATCACTGCTGATGACAATTGGAATTTTTCATAATTTGTGTTGAAAATAAAAAATTGCCTTAGAAATCTTTTTATAGTCAAGTCAAACTGACTCTTTCTCTGCCAGCCAAATCCAACAATGAAATTAGTTGTTTCCTAGAAAAATACTGTTACCATTTTTCTAAAATTTAAAACTAATAAAAGGAAAACAAGAAACCAGAGAATCACAGTCTTCTTGTTTCTCTCTCATCCCCTTATAGTTTCAAATTCAATCTCTTTTCCCTTTAGCTGTCTCTGAAGAAAATAAGGAGGAAAAACCTCTGTGGTTTCTTCAATCCCTCTTTCTAAATTCTTGAGAGAAAGGGGTAGAAGAAAATAAAAATAAAAAGAGAAAAAAATATAGTGATGGAGAGCATCCCAGGGTGGGAGGTGGTGTTTTTGTGTGGAATTGCTACATGGGTTGTTTTGTCTTCAATTTTTAATTTGACCCAAAAGATTAGATCTTTAACTCAATATTGGGTTTCTAGTTATGTTGTTTCTGGCACCCCCATTACTTTAAGGATCCAGGTTTGCTTCACAATATGCAAAATTCTGTAGATTTTATGATAAAGTTTATGTCTTTTCTGAATTCTGTTTGATGGGTTTTTCTCTTTTTTCCTTGTAGAAATATCAGCACAAATATTTGGATGCCTTGTTTTCTGGTCTTTCTTGTGTTGTTTCTGTGCCTTTCTACACTGCTTTCCTTCCCTTGCTATTCTGGGTATGTTTTTCAGATTTACATTTGGTGCTCAATAGTTTAAAGCTTTCTGTTGTAAGTTTTAGACTTTTTTTTTTTTAATGTTGCAGAGTGGACATTGCAAATTGGCTAGACAAATGACCCTTTTGATGGCCTTCTGTGATTATGTTGGTAACTGCATAAAGGTACTCTCTTTTCTCTTAACTTTACTTATCTAGTCAGTTCTAATTTTGTTAGGTCATGGTTGGTTTTATAATGAGCTAAATGTGCCATTTCCATAATAAATACTATGCTAAATGTGTTTGCAGGATGTGGTATGTGCTCCTAGACCCAGTTCACCACCTGTTAGGAGAATAACGGTGACCGAAGATGAGAAAGAAAATGCTCTGGAATATGGACTTCCTTCTTCACACACCCTCAACACTCTCTGCTTGTCAGGGTACACCTCTTATTTTTGTTGTGCCGCTTGATATCTGCATTGATGCTGAAGATTCCTATAGATTGGTGTATGCACATTATATCCATCATATGTGCTGAGAACTTAACGATATTGTGATCCAAGAAGAATCAATAATGGTTCACGTCAAAGAGAGAGTTACTGTTTCGACAGGCATAGATCTATATTTCTCTTCCTAAGGTGAAAAACTTAATGCTTTCACATTCTTGATAAAAACGTATGTTTACTAATTCTGAGGGAGAATAGTCCGGCAGTACTTTGATCATATTCCTTTTTGTGGTTAGCCAAAATGGTTATCAAGTGTTCGAATATGCCCATTCCTCCAAAATATTCTTTTCTGTGAATTTGTGGCCAGAAGGGGCAGTGTTCAACCACCTCTTGGGTTGTAACCTATACTATAGAGAAGGAAAATACCCAACGTGCTGCATTTTTTGGTAGGAAAATGCTTTACTCATGCCTATCTAATCAGCATAGTCTTACTACTCTTGTTGTCTTTTATGGATAAATCAGGTTCCTTCTTCAGTACATCTTATCCTACACACAAAATGAAGATGCCATTATTGGATTAGCTGGATTTGCATTCGTTTGTTTGTTTGTTTTCTTGATTGCAGTAGGTAAGTCTTACTTCCTGCGCAAGGCTCCTATCTATCTTCTTTAAAACGTTCAGGACTGAATTTCTGCTTATTTGTCAGGAAGAATATACCTGGGAATGCACAGCTTGATTGATATTATTGGAGGTCTAGCTTTCGGATTGGCAATCCTTGCATTCTGGCTCTCTGTTCACAAATACATTGATGATTTCGTAGTCTCGGGGCAAAATGGTATGAGTGCTGCTAGCTGTTTTGAATTTACTTTGGTCATAAATGTATGTGGAATCAGGTCCTTAATGTATTGGCGAAAAGTTCTTAATGTATTGGCATCTGTCAGAAAATCCTCTTGTTCCTCATATATTGGGTGTTATAACCTCAGAACTGGATGAGAGAAGACATAGCTCTTTGAGTTCTTTCATGATAAAAGAGGATAAATCAGTCATTACAGGCAGATATAATCGCTTTAAGTTCCATCTTGAGCATGAAGATACCCTGTACTCTGCTTCTATATCATTTTCCCCTGAATCCTAATGAGGGGCTTTGTCAGTATTTGGTTCTTATCAAGGATTTGAGTGAAAGTTTGATATGGGTAGACTGAACCTAAACTTTTCATAATACCCATATTCAGCAGCAATTTCTATCGAAGAGCAAATATTTTCTGCTTACAATCTGATGCTATATATCAAATATACGTTTGCAAAAACTAACGTAAAGTTTAATGCGGATGCAATTAGCTGACTCAATAAATTCAGTTATTGGAGCAACGGTAAGTTGTCTCCATGTGACCTATAGGTTACGTTCTAACCATGGAAGCAGCCACTAATGCTTGCATTAGGGTAGGCTGTCTATATCACACCCCTTAGGGTGCGGCCCTTCCACGAACCCTATTTGAACATGAGATGTTTTGTGCACCGGGCTGCCCCTTTTAATAAATTTCAGAGGCAACTCCTGCAGTCATATTAAGATAGCTTAATTGTGTGTGCAACTTTTGTCTCATAATAATGCTTGTTTTATCCCTATCAGACAATTTCAAAGAATTGTGTTTTTCGTGTAACCCCCAAAAACTCTGTGCTGGGCAAGTTAGATGCTTCACCTCGGTTAACCGCAGTGCTTCAGTGCGGGCTGAATGTCTTAAGGAGGACAACACTAAACAAGAAAATAGATATAACGAGGATATCCTAACTGATAAGGAAATTTTATTGTGTTAATGATAAGATAGGAAGATTTGAAGTTTAGTAAAAGAAATTAGTCATTAATTTGAATTAGAAACTTGCATCTAATTTAAAATGATCTTCGAATTTAATTAACATGGTTTGTATTCTTTGGTCCATATAAGAATTGAATATAATTAGATTTAATCTATTTCTTTTATTTGCGCTTTTTTTCCCACTAAATCTCGTGCTTTAATTGCTCTCCTAATAAATGCTTGGCGCGTTTCTATGCTTTTTGCCTTTGATAACACTGGAAAGAACATCGGTATTATGAGAAAATTCTATCTTTTGATTATTTAAGAAAGAAGAAAGTCGATTCTTTGACAAATGGGATTTTTCCAGTTTTTTATATGTCATCTTTATTGCATATTTGCATGATTATAAACCTTGTCTGTAGTTCTGAGATTTGGCATCTTTTGCAGTTTCCTCCTTCTGGGCTGTGCTTAGCTTCTTATTGCTCTTTGCTTACCCAACACCGGAGATGACAACTCCAAGTTTTGAGTTCCATACAGCCTTCAATGGTGTGGCATTGGGAATTGTAAGCACACAACTGTATTTCCCTGACTTTATCTTGTGAAGTTCATTTTTCTTTTTCCACCTATTCCTTTGTTGAGACCTCCCACTGAGATTTACGTTCATTGACCAGATTGTTTCAGTATGTTTGCTTAATTTGTAGAACTGAAAAATGGCTGTATAGCGAAAACAACCCAGTGCTTAGCATATGATTGTACTATTTTGCTCCTCCTGATTCATTGTTCATGTGAATCAGTTATGTACAAAAACAACCCAGTGAATCAGTGTAGATATATAAAAAAGGTGGTATTATTTTGCGAAGTTATTTCTCTGTGCTGCTTTTCTCCTTGATGAGTTAGTCAGAATGTAGTCGTCTATTTACAAAGTGATTGTCTTTGGACAATTTGTTGGAGAAGGTGGACTTTCGACTGTTCAACACAACATTTTCTTATACTCTTAGTAAACTTGTTATTTGTCGCACTTTGACTTGTATGATTAACATGGTTCTGTTGGCAGTCATCAAACTCCATTTAATTTGAATGACTAATAGTGCAAAGGCATCTTAGGGTTTAATATTGGTGCAGGTAGGCTGTCCTGAATTAGAAGCCATTTCCGTGTTGCTACCTTGGTCTTGGTAGCCAAAATATAAGAGTATGCATGCTATTTATTGGCTATCAATGAAACAACTAGATATGTCTAGGAGTAGCATAAGTGTCCAATTCCTCCTCTCATATTTCATTCGCATAGCTATTATTTAAGCAAAAAATGGAATAAGTAGAATTGCTGGAGAGAGAAAGAGAGAGGTGTCTGCTCTTTTCCTTGTTGGTCCAAGTCAATCTTAAACTGTGTCTTTTGCTCAAGCATCCTTTTTGATTCCTTCTCCTGTTTTTCCTGCTCAAGACCTCACTCTCTCTGGGGATGAGAGCTAATAATCCTGTAGACCTTAGTTATTGTGGATTCAAATGTTTAAGAGTGAGGAAGAACTACTTTGGTATTGGTTTTTCTCTATGAGAGTTTACGTAATGAATTTCATTCCTTTTGTTCTAACTTTTGGCAATTTTACTGGCAGTAATTTTCTTTAGTATGATGCATGTCCTTGTGCTATGCCTTTTTTGTTTTCTGGATGTAACAGGGTGATTGCAAGTATCTCTAATTTCATGAAAAAAATTCTTCTGTCCAGGTAATTGGCGTCCAGCAGACATATCATCAGTTCCATCATGAGAGTGTTCCTCGTGTCTTCACTCCCCATCTTTCCGTTCCTGCATTTTTGGGAAGAATGCTAGTAGGATATCCAACGATACTCCTTGTGAAGTTCTGTAGCAAGGCTCTTGCCAAATGGATGCTTCCCATACTTGCCAGTGCGTTGGGTATCCCAGTGAGATCAACCAGCTACGTCCCATCACTAAGCTTTTCACCTTCCGCTAAAAAGTCAGATGAAATAAAGCAAGCAGGTTATATTCAAAAGCTATTCTTTTTCTCCCGTCAGGACTCGTTTGACGTGGATACTGGTATAAGGCTCCTTCAGTACACTGGTCTTGCATGGTCTGTGGTGGATCTTGTGCCTTCTCTATTCTCTCACCTAAGCCTATGATGCTTGGTATATCATGTATAATAGAACATATTGTTTCTGTTGATATGTAGGAATACGTTCTTAGCTCACCATATTGAACTCTTGTATGACAATTTTGAACCTGTGTAATATATCATTACTAATGAAAATGAGGTATATTCTGCGGGTTCTGAAAGCAATACTAGCTGCTTTGCTTGTCTCATCTCAATGTCTAGTCTCAATTCAAAGAGGATTGTTTGATCTGTAGAGAGATAATTTGAAAAAAATTATCCCCTATTTAGTTCAAGGATCAGGTATGGGATAATTGTTGGAATTAGATTTTCTTATGTGATTTACAAATCTATTATTATTAGCAGCTTAATAACATTTAATTCGGACAACAAAAAACATATAAAAATAGATGATGTGGTTTAGTTGTGCTGATTTAGCGATGCTCTTTTCCTTTCTCTTTACTCTAAAGTAAATAGAATATTGAAAATCATTGAATTTGTTTGTTCTGATACAAGAGATTGGCCCGAAAACAAGATATGGTAGGTCTTGAAGATCACGGTGGTGAATTGTGTGATGGGAAACCTTCCCGCATAATTTTAAGAGTACTGAATTAGAATGGGAGATTTACCACCTTATCATTGCATGCAAGTGTTTTCCATAGTTCAATAAGGAAAAGAGAGAAGAGCAGCCGATTTAATATATTAAATCCTGATTCGATCTTCATACTTTCCCGGTGTCATAGGTTACCTTTATATCTTCCTCTGCCATGACATGCCTAAGTAGGCTGTCCACTTTTTTGTGATTCATGAAAGCAAAAGGATACCCAAGGCTGTCACACTCTTGGGTATCCGGCCATATATTAAAGGGTATCCTTAAGCTACTTCTATCCCGATCTTTGAACTTTTCTAGTGTCATTAGGTTACCTTTCCATCTTCCTCTCCGGTGGCATACCTAAGTCGGTTGTCAGCTATCACATTTACTGGGATCCAGGCATGGTAGGGTCTTTATCCTGAAGCTAATCCAGGATAAAAGAGGTAGAAGTGGAGGTAGGGTTGGAGGTAATATTTTTGAAATTCTCTAAGTTCTAACCCAGCTTCAAAAATGTACTTCTCGGCACATCATCGGTAGGGGAAAGTGGAACTGCTTGACGCTGTATACTAAATACAACAAGCCCGATTCACATCATTATGTTCAATAAAAGGAACAACTCTTCAGTAATCCAGGGTGATCCGACCCCTTCGACGCTTTTTTCGCTGTATACCCCTCCATCCTTCAGAAGTGGAAGAAAGGGTACTCTAATTTGAATACATAGTAGGGCCCCAAAACGCTAATGTTTTTCCTTTTTAATACAAAGAACTAGAAAAGTGTATAACCTAGGCTGCACATATATTTGTAATCCATGTAGAAGCTGAAGAACCCTAAACATTTTTCATGGTAGACTTACATTGAAGTGATATTACATCAGCGATTTGATTTATTAATTGAAATGATATTACATCAGTGATTATCAGGAAGTTCTTTTTAAGTATGATTTTGTCCGGAAATCACAAGTCTATACTTCTATTACAGTAAGATGCAGAAACTTAAAGGAGCACACTGGGATTAACTGCATGATCCTCTTCCTTTCATCACATGCTTCCTTAGCCCTGGAATGTGGACGTTAGAGATGTAATCTTTCCAATCTATGCTCTCTACATCAAATCCAAATTGCCATCTTTCTTCTTTAGACATGCATTCCATCAACCTTTGAGTATTGCTGTTGTCAAATCTGGAAATTTTGGAATTTTCGTTTAGTTTCATGACAAACTTTATATATGCATAGGGTTATGTTTTTAAACTCTTACCTTCCTCCATAGAAAGTGTACGGTTCATAGATATTAGCCAAGTATTTTGCTTGCTCCACTGACTTTCTACAGATATTCTCAAGTTTCTTGGACAAGTTGCCGTTTGGATCAGCCAAATCTGTTAGGCCACTCCTGTTAATGGCGTCTTGCCAAAGGTGGGATGACAAGTCCTCCATGGATCTCAGCAGCGTCATCTTTGGAACATGAATTGGTCTTCCTTTGGAGTCGATGTATGGTGAACGATTGAAGTGATCAAATAGCATTCTTGCCAAGTCCTTGAAGACTAATGGATTTACAGCAGATGAAGCAACCTGGTAAACACTACTTCCTGGTTTTCCTTCTGTCCCATGTTTTGCCATGGCTGCCAACGTTGCATTCACAACCATGTCAGCTGGAACCTATAAGAGACATAGAAATAATGTTGATTACACACTACCCTTTATATTAGGATTAAAATTGAATCAGTGGATTGAAGAACTTGCCACATCAAGAACCCCATTAGGGTCTACAAGAAATCCTGTGAGCTGCCCTTTACCATAGTACAAAATGATTGGATCCATCATCCTGCATAAGATTTCAAGGTTAATATTATTCGGAAATTATATTAGCTTAAGGCGAATGGAAGTCTTTTAGGTTAAGTAGAATACCTGCTCCCTTCCATCCATCCTGGAAATGGTTCCTTGTAGGTGCTTTCAATGACACTTGGTCGAATAATAACTACCGGAATATCACCTCTCATGCTGTCTATCATCATCTCTCCCATTGCCTTTGTGAATACATAAGTGTCTTGCCAACCAAATTTGTTTGCTCTGATCAGTTCAAAACTCTTTGTTAAGCAAATAAGTTGTGTTTAAATATTTCTTAAAGTTATAATGAAGCAAATGCCTAGTGTTACATATACCTCTCTAAACCAATTTCTTTCATTTTCTGAGACACTGAGTTATTGTCTAGAGCTTGTTTAGACTCCAAAACTAACTTTATCTCATCTTCAACATTCAAAAAGGGGAAGGAGTTGTGATTGACTCCAGAGAGAAGATTCTCCCTTGCTATACTATCTCCAACGCAGAATGGCTTTTCCATAATTCTACCTTGTCGCTGTCCATTTACATAGGCTGTTTCCAACATGAAACAATCCAGTAAATGATCTCTTAACACATCATTTTAGTTAAATAAGATCAACAGTGTAACTTGCCTGTAGATACTTGTAGAAAGAGTTTAAGGTTGTGGCATTGTTTTGCAAAGTTCATAAGGCGGCTTGGTCCTCCAGTGTTTATATCAAGTGCAATATCGTACCTGACTTGCATCACATATATTTGTTAGATATACTTGAGAAAACATGAACATACACAATTCCAAATGTAAAATTTCCAACAACCTTTCATCAAAAGTTGTATTAGCAGCTGAATTCACAATTATGTCAACCTCTTTGGCTATCATTTTGGATGTATCTTCATCAATTCCTAGATTAGACTCACAAACATTTCCTACCACAGGTACCAACTTGTTTAACATGAAAGTCTGATAAGATTTCCCATGGACTTGTTTGAGGGACTTGAATATATCAGCATTGAGGATCTAACAGTCCAAACATGTGAAAAACTATGTTAAAGTTGGAAATGGACCAAACAGAAAAGCCAAAAAAGGATCAACAAAAAATATGACTAAATAAGATTAATGCATACTTCATTCTTCAATCTCTTCATAGCATGTTCTTTGTTCTTTGCCTTGATCAAGATGAATATTTTGTTCACATCAGGTGCTGTCCTTAACATCTTCTCAATTAGAACTGAATTTCCAGCAGAGCGAAAAGGGTGTTAGGAAAAATCAATAGCATAGAAAGAAAAAATGAACAACAACAACAACTATGTTTCAATCCCAAACCAGTTGAGGTCGGCTATATGAATCGTCACTGTCCATATTGCCTTATTTAAGAAAAAAAAGTTATGCATTGCAAAAACTTGTCAAGCTTATGGAAATAACCTTTTCCCAGAAAACCAGTAGCACCAGTAATGAGAAATGCTTTGCCTCTCAGAAACTTGGTAATGCCTATACCATCATCATGCCTTTCATAAGGCACCAAATCTTTCACCTTAGTTTCAGCTTGGCTGTTACCATTTGGACTCAAAACCAAACTTCCTGCAGCCTCCATAAAAGCTGTGCTATGATCTGAGCTAATCACCGATGAAGACGATTTTATAGCATTTGTACCAGTACTTTGGCAATATATCATGTTGTCAACTTTCTTGGGAGGGCATCTTCTGGAATTATTAGACAATTTGAGAGCAGTTCTTGATATAACAGAGCAAGAACTTAGAGTGCTCAAAGCCTCCATTGATGCAAAGGGAAAGAAGAAAAAAAAAGTTTAAAGGAAAATGGCAGGAAAGGTTATAGCTATGAGGTGCAAAGATAGCCTGCAACCTCTACTAGCTAGCTAATCACTGTTTTCTTGATTTTTTTTTTTTTTACTTTTTCTTTTTTTAAAGAAAAGAAAGTGAGAAACAAGTTAACTAACAAGTTTCTATATTATAAGTGAGTTTGGTTTGATCTAAGAGGGAGAGAAAGATTGAGGGAATGTGTAGAAAAAGAAGGTTTGGTTTAGGGATATTTAAAAGGAAGAGGAGATGAAAGTTAGGAGAATGAAAAAAAAGGCACTCTTTTTGCCTCTTTCTTCACACTAATTACCAATGGCTAAGTTGGCGGGAGTAATTTATATACTTGTTCTCATTTTGATTATTCAACTTTGGTGTATAAAAAAGTCAAGAAAGTATATAAGAATAAAGAGTGTGATAATTGTGGGAAGAAAATTGTGCTAGAAAGTGGAGTCAAAATAGGAAATGGCACCATTGGTCAGCTATTTTAGTGTGGAGAAAATTTTAGTATTACTTTCCATTCTTATTGACCAAACATTATTAATTTTTTCATTCTTATAACTTGTGACTTAATATGTGGAAACACAGGGCGGAGTGTTGTATGTATCATGGACATGGGGTAGGACGTTCGCCATATAAATTTGTGGAAGCAGAGGGTGGAGTATTTTACCTATCATAGGCAGGGGGGGGGGGGTAGAGAGCGAGTTACGGGTTCGGCCGAACTCAGTAGCTTTGGTTTAAAATCTATATTTGTTTGATGAAATTCATTAAACATGTAGAAATTATTAATTTAGAACCAGGGGCGAAGCTACATATCCCTAAGGGTGGTCAACTGACCACCCTTGATCGAAAAATTACATGTATATATAGGTAAAATATTAGATTTTAATGGTATATAACATAAATTGAACACCCGTTATCGGAGATTTTTTTACTTATTTCAAGTTTGAACACCCTAAATGAAATTCCTGGCTCCGCATTGTTAGAATCCAGTAACT